ACTTCTAATTGCAAATCATATCACTCCTCACTTTTTCTCTCCTCCGACCCCCATCTTACCCTGCCTCCCTAACTTAAAACCTTACAATGACTTCCCTAAATTTTAAAGATAAAGCCAAAATCTCTAAAATGCACCATTAGGGTCTGCTTGATCTGCTTGTTATCAAAAGGAGCCTCACTTTCTCTCCTAGATGATTCCTCACACTCTCACTTTCAGCCACATTAGGTTTCTTTTGATCCTTTACATTTGTCACAATGCCTCCTGCCTCAGGGCCTTTGTACATACTCTTCCCATTCTCTTTTGCCTGAGTAACAGCCAGCATGTTAATGGCCCACACATTTTCAGATCATGGATCAACCTCTGTTTACAGAGGGCCCCAATACCCCTCCCCCTCTAGTGCTGTGCTATAGAGAACCTCCCACAGTGACAGGTTCGAGTTAATGTTCTTTTGAGTACTGTCTCCTCCAAACCTTAAACCTCCGTGAGGTCTGAGACTCACTCAATACCAGTACAGTGCCAGGCACAGGGTAGTCACTTAGTAAATATTAGTTGAGTGACTGAATAAAAGAAAGAAGCTACTATGTTAAGTCCTGGGATTACAAAGATGAACAAGGCACAGAACCTCCAGAAAGCAACTCAGAGGTTGGGGGCGGGAGGGCACAAGCTGAGGAGAGGATGAGTAAACAGACCCAGGGTGTGACAGGGTGATGAGCGCAGAGCAGAGGGGCAGGCCAAAGGACGATTACGCCCGGGCCCCGCCCACCACCCAGTTGAAGTTCAATCCAGGTGTCTATGACTGAGCTCTCAGCCCTCGGCGACCCTGTGACGTTACTGCTTGGCAGCCACTGCTGCATCCCAGCCGTGGCAATGCCACCCACACTGCCACAAATTCTGCCGGAGCGCTGTCCTCGGGACTGGGCACTCTCCGAACCTGTCCAGAGTGCAGTGTTGTTAAAGGCTCTGTTTATAACAAAGGCATTGTGTAGATCGCTTCAGTCAGAAGAGCTCCTGGTGCCTTCCAGACAGTGATCTCATCATGTCCTCAAACCAACCCCGGCTAATGCAAAGTTTCATCATTTTTCTTCCCACTGTACAGCTGGAGAGACTGAGGTCAGTAGAGATCACTTAAGTTGGCCAAGGACTGAGAGCAGCTCAGGAAGAGAACTTGGAGAGAGCCCAAGGCCCTCTCTACGGGGTCTACCGGCCAGGCCAGTTGGCACATGAGGACTGCTCAGGCTAAGGACCTGCTGCTCAGGACACTGCAGGCTCGTTTTCTTTGGTGCAGAAGCACATGTCATCACCTCTTGGAGCCAGAGCGTGAAAGCAGACAGGCCCTTGAGAGATCATCTGATTCAACACTGTTGTTTTATGAAGAAACTGATGAATCTCCTTTACCCTTCCTTTCCCTTCCCTACTGATACCAAGTGATAGGGTGGAGACTGCTAGCTATCTACCCACACCCCTTCTCCCCCTCTTTGCCTATATGGCTAGACTATATTTCCCAGATGCCTTTGCAGTTCGGTGAGCCATGTGACCATGTTCTCTCCACTGAGATGTCAGAGGAAGTGAAGCGTGCCACTTTCAGGCTGGGCCCATCAAAACTTCCCATGCTCACATCTCCATGTTCTTTTCACCTCTGGCTGATTGGAACGTCAATTCCAAAGGGCAACTTTGGAAGCCATCCATACATTAGAGAATGGCAGAACTGCCGTAGTGTGGATCCCTGAAAGACTGTGAAAAGACACCCACTCCCCACCCCCTGCCACTGACCTGAACAGCACTGCCTAAGACTGTTAAGTGAGCAAGAAGAATAAAACATCTATCATGTAAACCTGCTGCATTTGCAGGGAAGTTGGGGGTCATTTGTTACTGCAGCTTAGCCTAAACCTAATCTAATTAATGCAAGTAATGCAAACAGGAAAGGACCTGCAAAAGCTCTGACTACAAACAGTGTTGGGTAGTAGTGACACTGGACTCAGCCACTTTTGAGTGTCCCCACACCTGTGCTGGAGAGGTCAGGAATGTCTGACTCCTAACTCAGTCCAGAAATGTGGCCTGACGTTGCGTCCCACCTGTTTCATTCTAGATCGGTAAACTCTCAGGCCTGGAATGGATTTGATATGTCAACTGATTTATCCCCCTGGCTCCAGGTCGGGCATCTTCTAAACCATCTGAAGTGACCAAAATTCTTGTCTGGGTTTTTGGATCTCTGGGAAGGAAACACTACAAATGTCCTTAGATATCAGTTTCATATATCCTTGCTGCTGCGTCAGAAAGTCTTTACTGAACCCTAAAACAACAGAGCTGGAGCACCTTTGCAATCATCTAGGTCGCAGAGTGTCAAACTCATTTTCACCAGGGGCCGCATCGGCCTCGCGGTTGCCTTCCATGTAATTTTAGGACTGTGTAAATGTAACTCCTCCTTAACTAGGGGCAAGGAGCTCGGTGCTGCCGCCGGGTCCCGGACTGGATAAAACAAGGTGGAAGGCTGGTTTTGGCCCAGAGGCCTTGTGTTTGCCACCTGTGATCTACGAAATCAATCTTTATTTTAAACGAAAGCAAATTAAAAGGACAGCCAAATCAGGAGTGGAAACATAGAAATGAAGATCTCAAGGAGGGTTAGCAACAGGGGAGTGGGAGGAGGAGATGGGGAGAGAAGGTACAGAAAATAAGTAGCATAGACAGTAGATAGAAAATAGATGGGGGGGCAAGAATAGCATGGGAAATATAGAACCTAAAGGACTTGAGACACATGGACATAAACTAAAGGGGGGTAATGGTGGGGATGGGGGGCAGGGTGGAGGGGAATGAAGGGGGAATAGAACAACTGTAATAGCATAATCAATAAAAATTTTTAAAAATTAAAAAAAAATAAAGATGAGGAAACTGTGGCCCAGATCACACTGTTAACCTGTGGTAAAATTTGGGTGAGCAGCAAGGGCTCTAAGACCAAATTAACGACACTTTCCAAGGTTCTATCTGCCTCCAATTCACTCTTGCTGTTTCCTCTTGCTCTGTCCTAGCGGAGGATGAAAAAGTGCAGGGGTTCGTCTTCACCGTGATCCATCTTTCCGGGTTTTCCTGGGTCTCCCCCTCCTCATCCACAGATGAGGCCCTACTCAGCTGACCTGAACTTGATCGTTCCTCTTAGAAGTTAGAGAGAAGATCAGAGAGAGAGAGAGAGAACTCTGTGGTGTCCCCAGGGAAGGGACGTGTGGCAGGTGCACATTTGCTCCTTGGGCCTCGGTAATGAAGGTGGAGTCTCCAGTGGGTTCTCTGAATCCCGCCTGGGAAGCCTGTAAGAGCCATTAAACTCTTGCACATTACTGGTTGCCTGGATGGCAACTCGTGCTACGTGAAATATTTTCTGAGGAAGGAAGGGAGCGGCAGTGACCAGAACCTCTAACACAGTGTCTCATGTTTGTCGGGGCGTGTCGGGCTGTGTCTGGGCAGCCGGGCAGTCCTGCCTATTCATATAGAGCAGGATCCCAAGAAGTTGAGCTGGGGCCATCAAACCAAGTGACTTACATGGGGATCACTATATGGGACTTTCTTGGAAAGACCTGGAAATTCCATGTGAGAGCTCTTTTCAAACAGAACAAAAGAAAAATGAATTGTTCCTCTTCACCCCCCTATTTAAGGCCAGCTTGTTTATGTAGAGCATCCTTATGTTTTCTGCCCAGTGACTCACTTGGACCAATTCACCGGGAAGGGGGCCTCGGTCTGTCCACAGCTGCCCTGGACACCACCATCTGCTTGTGCCCCTGGAGGTGGGTTATGGAGCTCCGGATGTGGACAGAGAGAGCGGAGAAGTGGGGTGGAGAGACAGGCCTCAGAGGGAAGCCCAAACTCAGAGTTTATTGAGCATCTGGTGCTCAGACAGGGCCCTCCAACAGGACTGATGGGATCCCTGAGGGGCTCCAGGTCTCACTTTTCTTGAGACGTTGTCTGAATTATTTCAAATTCTGAATGATGGGACCAGAATTAATAATGCCACATGGTCGTTCATAGACACATTCCTTAATCTTTGGGTCTAGCTTCAGAATCTTGAGCAAGTTACTTTGCATTTTGAGCCCTTCTTCCTTCATCTAGAAATGATGAGGCTTGCAGCCCTAAAATTTAGACTTTTTAATCATTTATTTACTGGGAAGGGAGGGAGTATTGATACCTATGGGACTTTATTTACCAGGAAAATCTGTTTACATTAAATCTTTGAATCTCTCCCCAGAAGGGTTTCCATTAAAATTCCGTGATTTCTCTGCGACCTTTTGTTGAATTTGCCATCTGCAGCCCTTTTACCCACCGAGTTGGCCCCTGCAGTTCCTGAATTCAGTTTTCTTTTCTCTGAGGCCTGTTTGGGTCTTCTGGTAGTGACATTTCTGCAGAACTCTGGTGTGAGCCCAAGGCAGTGGTCAATGGGGGTGAAACCCAGACTGGAGAGGGAGCGGTGAAGGACGAGTCCCGCACTGGCTGGGGGATGAGGTGTTAGGCTTGGCAACAGGGAACCCAGCACCAGCCCCGGGCCTGGAGAACGGGTTGGGGAAAGGGGAGGTCACTTCAAATTAGTAAGGCGCAATGACCACACAGGGTGGGGAGCGGGGGCGCAGGTTTCACTTCTCTCACGTAGCGAACCACGTTGTACAATCTAGTCGGTGCTAATTAAATCACCCAACACCTGCTTTTCACCGATTCCTTGTGCATTTAAGGAGTTGGGAAATTCTGGTTCCTGATTCGGAAGACTCGGTTTTTCTAATTTTTCTCCAAATGGCAGAGCAATACTAATGGGTGTGGGTGTGCGTAAAGAGACCAAGTTGACGGCTCAGTGGCTGTCACCCCGCGGTCCCGAGCCCGCCGCCCGCCGCCCTGCCCTGCGGTGGTCGCCCCCGCCCCCTTCCTGCCCTCTCCCCGCCCCCGGGCCGGCGCGCTCGGCGGGTGATGTCAACCCGCGGAGGAGCCGCCCGCCCCGCGACCCGCCCGGGCTAATTAGCATGTAGCGGCGCCCGGGCCGCCTCCGCCGCGCCCGCCGGGCCCCCGGCCGCCCCCCCGCGGCTCCCCACAACTTTTGAGGCGGGCACTGTGCTCGCAGCCTCACTTCGCCGACTTCCCCGGCCCTACGCGGCACCCGCCCGGCTTCCCTCGCACCCGCGGCCGCCCCGCGCCCTCCCCGCGCGCCGGGCATGTGAGCGCGGGCGGACGCCGCCACCATGGCCTCGCCGCGCGCCTCGCGGTGGCTGCCGCCGCTCCCGCTGCTGCTGCCGCCGCTGCTGCTGCTGCTGCTGCCGCCGGCCGCCCCTGGGACGCGGGGCCAGCCGCCCTCCCCGGCCCACGGCGCACCCAGCGGGGCGCCTCTCGCGGGCGCGAGGCTGGCGCGGTCGCCCCGGCCCGGCCCGGAGCACGAGCTGCCGTCGCCGCCACCCACTCCGACCCCGGAGCGCCGCGGGCCCGCGCCCCCCGGCCCCAGCCGGCCGGCCCCTGCACCGGACGCCGCTACAGGGCCGGGACCCTGGGGCCCGGTGCCCCCAGGCGGGAGCGCTGGTGAGTGAGAGCCGGGGGCGGGAGCCGAGTGAGCCTCAGACTTGGGGTGGGGACGCGCCCTGGGGCCGCATCCCCCACCTTAGGCCCCTCAACGCTGCTCGACCGGGGTGGGGGCTTCGCTGACCCGAGTGTACGTGGGATCCTGAGGGTGGGCTGGGGGGGAGGGCAGCGGGCGGGCACTGTGGGCTTCCTAGACGATTTCGCTGGTGGCTGGACTGGGGGTGTGACCATCCTGTTTTCCCCCTTGGATGAAAACTTATCTCCCATGGTGTACCCAGGATCTCCCTCCCGACCCTGTGTACATACCCTCTTTTTAAAAAAAGAAAGAAAAGGGAAAGTCCCAGATCTTCCAAAGCATCCTACCAGCTCTCTGAGTGATGATGTCTGGCCTGCCCAGTCTCCAATTCCATTCTTCTCCTGTAGATAAAGAGGTGTCCTCTCCAGGTACAGAGCCTGACTTTCAAAAATAAATAACTGATTTTGAAAGAGTTCTACCCCTGGGACATTATAAAGGACAAAGGATGTAGTTGAAAACAAAACACTCTACCGGTTCACTGTGAAAGCAGAGGTACTGGGGGGATGGGCGGAGGGTTGCAAGGTCGAGCCCCGCAAGGCCACAGCTGGCAGGGCACAGGACTGTCCCCGAGCCTTTCCCTCCCCTTTCCTTACACACGCAGCCACTGCCTGAACTGCTCAGAGGACCTGCCCACTCTCCTCCTGTCCTTTTCTCCCAGCTCCTTCTTTAGGTCTGGAAGAAACGCTAGTCTGAGTGAAATTTCACCTGTGATGCCACTGTGACCTTGGGAATGGCAGCTCTTTAGATCTGTGTCTCCATCTGTGAAATGGAAGGAAGGGTCCCCGTTCCTCCTGGCGTCCTAGTGATGATGTGACAAAATGAAAGTAAAAATAATGGAAAGTGCTCTGAACAAAGCCCGCAGTGTGGCGGCGCCTCCCTGCCTGTGAGTGACACAGGGCATTCGCTCTCTCAGGGTTACCCTGGAGGTTTGGAGTTTAGGTGCAGGTTCAGAGCTCATCTTCCTAGTTGACACTTCATTTAAGTTTCACACACACACACACATACACACACACACACACGCTGTGGTGTCGGCATTAACTTGCTTTGTTGAACCTAGGGATGCATCCTCCAATTAAATTTTTAAAAGTTAAAAAAAAAACAATTCCCCCAGTAAACACTCAACTCCATATTCAAATACTACTTCCACCATTGCAAAATGCCCTGTCTCTGAAAATACCCTGTTTCTAAGTCACGGGCACAAGATTGAGAACCGAAGGGCAGGAAGGGAAGGGAGAGGAGAAAGAAGCTCCGAAAGACCTGCTGCAGGCACGCCCACAGTGGCTCCGATTTAGATGACTTACAACGCATTGTTTTAAGTTCCACGGGAAGGAATTAAGAACATAAAGAGAACACTTCCTGGCTTTCTTGCACCAGAAAAGTCACCAAGGAGCACTGTTGTATTTTGTGAGTTTTCTAAGTGGAAAGTGGAGTTCAGGGCACTGGGGCCATGTCAGAGGAGACAGCCAGGAACTGCAGGCAGCTCTCTCTGGTTGGTGATCAGTCTTTCTCAGTTTGGACTCCGATCTTAGGGGATGGGAAGGAGGGAGGGATGATGCCTTTCGGGGCGGGGGTCGGGGTGCAGGCTCTGACTGGATGAAGCTGGCGCAAGAGTCTCCTCCCTTCTGTGGCTGGGAATCCCCACATGTCACAGAAAGCTAGGTGTCAGAGCGCTGGGTGTTTTGAGGAGAGGGGCAGTGGAGGAAAACTGGCTCGGGGGACTCAGCAGGGAAGAGTTGGGCTGGGCAGGGCTGATCTTTGCTAGTCAGGGCCTCCTCCTGGGCCCCAAGTGTCCCACTCTTCTTCACAGGTTTGGCAGATAAACACTGCTAGTCTTGGTTTTACAACCTCAGTTTGATTCACTCTGCGAGATGAGAGTGATGGAGATTTCAGGGTCTCGTGATGTGGAGGGACGCGTGTGAGTCCAAAACTTCTCTTACTAAGAGGGTCTCTCCTGGTGCCCCCAGAAGGATGGGCCAGGGAGCATCTGCTGTTCTGCAGGAGATCTAAGTCTGGATCTCAAGTCGGATGTTAGGAACTTGAGATTAGAAGAGAGGACATTGATTACTTACTGAAAACTGCTACAAGCTACTAACACGACTGAGGATTCGGGCACCTCCTGTGCTTGTTTTCTAGTGGTGGCTCAAACAGTGTCATTTCGGGGAGAAAAGAAAAAACAAGAGAGCCAGCATTGCCCAGTTTCAGAGATGAGGAGAGTCTGAGTTTCCTAATAATCTCCAAGGATTTTTTTGGACCCTTCTTCATAGTCCACCATGTATCACAAGGTACAATCAGTTATCTCCCAAGGCAGCCAAGTCACCGCCCCGGATGGGCCTCCGAGGCGCGCTGGTCCGCACCACCTCCCTTGTGTATATCTGCCTTCTCTGCACCGACAGATGGCCATCCAGGCTGTGAACCAACGGTTTTGTGTTTAGGGTGGTGCTCCCTCCTGCTGGTAATGAGCCCAAGTCTTACAAATAACGCGTTTCATCTGACTGTTGGAGAAACTGCCTGCAGCCCGTTCTGCTGCAAGGATGCTCACTGTCAGTGCCTAGCCCTCGTGGCGTGGGCTTCCAAATACATGGGCGTTGCCAGCTGGGGCCAGTGATACCTTTTCTTGCCTGGGACCATTTCTAGACCTTGTCCTCCTCTGAACAAAGTCCAAGGTTCTCACTGTTAAGTAACCACACTTGCTTCCGTTTGTGGGTGGTTGGCCTGCATTAGACCGCGAGCCCCAGGACGGCAGCCCCCCACCACACCCCAGAGCCATCGTTCAACTTTCTCCTCCACCTGTCCCCTGCTGGCCCTGTAGCTGAAGTTGTTGCTGACGATTCAGCCAGTGGAGATAGAGAGGATGACAAGTCCTGAAGATTTTCTTTTCCTTAGTATTTTGGTTTTTTTGTAGTTGTTGTTTTAAACAACTCAGGGCTTCCAAGCCACAGTTCTAATCTGATTTTCATAAGCCATGATTTTTGTGATGCAGAGGCTGTGCTTTAATTGTGAAATCTGCAGATGAGAAGGGGAAAAAAAGCTTAAGTCATAATACAAATCAATGGAGAAGGAAAGAACTTTCCCACCCAAAGGGGAAATGACGCTGCGTAGATGAGCAGTCAGCCCAAGGAATAATAATCTTAGAAAAATGCAGCTCCCTAGAGTGAAGGAAGCACTGTGAGCCCAGCCCCTGCTGGGCTGCTTCATAGCAGTCGCCTGCACTGCTGTAACGCAGTGGGCCAGCTTCATCATTTAGCTTTAGCTGCTGGGTAGACCAGTAGGCAGGGCAGTGAAGACCCAGGCTGGGCAAGAGGCGGCTCTGCAGGGAGGGGAGAGGGGCTTTGGTCTGGGAGTTTGGCACCTGTGTTCCGGCCAGGCTGGGGGAGAGGGGGCATGGGGATTCCTGAGAAGCCTGCTTGCTTTGATAGAGGACGTCCCCAGTAGAAGGAGGGCGGGGAAAGGGACTCTCCATGCCTTGTGTGTTCAAAAGCCACATCCTTTTAACCTTGCAAAAAACTCTTCCCTTGGCACGTGTGCAAATGCTGAACTGCTGCTGTTTTCTACCCAAGAGCTGAATGGTGTGGGCAGAGGGAGAATGAAAGGTGTTCGATGCCCGGCTGGGCAGTGGCTGCATTCCGGGTCCCGGAGTCCTGGAGAACTGGCGAAGGAGCCTCTGCCCTCACAGTGATCCCCTTCACCTTCCAGCGGCTCTGCCCGGCTGGTTGGAAACAGTGTTCTTGGAGTTGACTTGTCTCAGAGTCGCTCAGAAAGAACGCAGAGAACAGCTGGCAGGCGGAGTTTTCAGGAGGCACTTCCCGTCTTCTTCAGTGGTGTCCCTCTGCCCCCCAGGCCCCTTTGGTATAAATGGTTTCGGCTGTAATGAAGGTCTCTCCCTTTGAAGAATCTTGGGGAGGCGACAGGGAGGGAGATTACTGTTGTCCCTCTTTGGGCTTCCAGCCTTGGAGTACCTTCCTGAGGTGGGAGCCTTCCTGTTCCTCATCCCAGTTGACCCTCAAAACAGTCCTGTGAGAGGTATTATTTCTTCTCTCGCAGTCATAAAAACTGAAGCCTGGCGAGGTTAGATCACACAGCTAACGGAGGAGGCAGAATTGAAATTGATTTGACCAGACGGATTTGCGTTTTTCCCAGGGTCCTGCAGCTGCCGTTTTCCCATCGGTGGGGTGGAGCGAGGACTGCTCTGGATCGCTAACCTGCTCTCCAGCGCATCATCCTTCTCTCTTCTCGGGGCTTTTGCCCCTTTTTAGAGAGGAGGGACTAAGACTGGGTGAGAAGTGGGACAAGGAGGTGACAGTGGTAATGGGGACTGCTGCAGAGTAGAGATCAAATCGGTTTTTTTTGGAAATTGCTGAAGATGAGGCTGTGTCTGTGTGTCTGTGTGTGTGTATAATATATGTATACATATATACATATACATATATGTATATACACATATATAATGGTATTCTACATAGACATTGTGAATTATGCCCTACTTATATGCCAATCCATAGGTTATTGATGCCAGAGGTAGCTATATTAATTAGCAACTGAACTAAAATGAATCGATGACATTTTTAATGGGCTCTCTCGGGAGCATGGCTGAGATTATGGGGCATGTCTTGTGCATTCCTGTTTAGTATGAGGAGAGGTTAAATCGTGTTCCCATTCAGAGCCTGTAGACTTGTTTTCATTTTAGCATCTGTGCCCTTGTTTTACCCTCACTGTTCATCTTACATAGGCAAAAACGAAGATGTTTCTGTCCTGTGTTTTTTCCTCTTCCTTTGCTGGGGTGTGGCAGCTGTCACAGCTGTGTCACAATCGACTGATTTGTAAGTCAGGACATATTTATGGAGCGTCTTCTACAGACGAGGAGGCTGTTCCTGGCGGCACGGAGGCTGCCGTGCAAGTCTGCCGTGTTCCCAGGGAACATGCACAA